ATGTGAGACTAAAATTTGGTTGCACCGATGAGAGATGGAGGAGTTTCTATCGCTGCTGGTGGGACCGCTACGACCTGCAGCGGGGTCGGTGGGCATGCCCGGATGCCCCCATATCCACCTCATATTTGGGCTGGATATGAGGGGTGCCGGTTAGCCTGGGTGTTTGAGGCCCGTTTGAGACGTCCGTCTGGGTAAAAAAAATTGTACCGGGCGACCCATCCAGACATATGAGGTGGGTTCGAGAGGTCCTGTTGTATATGCTCTAAGGGTCCATGTTGGAGATGCCCTAACCTGATGCTTTGGCCGGTGGTGCATACCAATCAATAGAATCTCAGTTCTATAAATAAGCAATTGTGTTTCCTTTGCCATGCTCTACACCAACATATTGTCATGTCATATGGTCTTATGGAGTATAAAGTATGCATATAAAAAAGGCACACGTTAAAGTTATTGCTGGACCTGTTCTATCAGTCATGGACAGTGGCGGAGCTAGCAAATTGTCGAAGCCTGAACACATATTTAATTCCTCATGCTCCCTAATTTGTGAAGCCTAAAACTCAATTGAGGTCTCCAATTTGAAATTGGATCATCGGATTTTGACAGGGCCAACAATTGTTATTTTTTCTCTCAAAGAGCCCTCTCATTCAATTTTTTAATTCATTATGCTTCCTAATTTTGGAGCTTTCCCATCTGATCGAAATATTCAATTTTAGGGTTGGTTCACAATTTTGACCGGGTCGATGGTATCAACCCCGCGCATCCTCTCACCACCAAGAAAAAAGAAACATCAATATATGATATTGTAGCATCAATACATTACATGTAGCCACCGACATAGAAAACGTCCCTGCATAGGTATGGTTGATTAATGAAAAACTCATAATCACACCGCGAAAGGATTACCAAAACACCGCATTATTATAAATAAAAAGAAAATGCACTTTATCATCTCCCTCACCCCGCCAAGCCAAATGCTCCATCTGTTTCTTTGACCAAGTTCACAGCAAAAACATCGATATCCATAATACTAAAAAAATAAAATATGAAAATTTGTTCCATGCTTAATTCAATGATATCGACTTGATATTATGGACATTGGTACATTTCTCTACAAATTTGATCAAACTTTAAATATTTAACTTTTCAAAAAACTAATACACATTATATTTTGAAACAGAGGAAGTAGTTCTTTTTAACCCAACAACAGCAACGGCGCAGCAAAGCACGCCCAATCCTTCTAGTACTCCACTATAGTCTATCAAAAACCAGTTGTTGGTAACATCATGTGCAGTATAATAGACCATACAAGATGTATTAAATTAAATAATAACAAAGTCGCTAAATACTTGTCACATGACCAAAGCTTGATGACATGACCAAAGAAGTCGCAAAATTTCAAATTTATAATCAGGCCTAACTGGAAAGGGTCATAATTAATCTATCTATATCTATATCTATATCTATATCTATACCTACTATTAAAGGGAATAGGTATTCTTGGTTTGGTTTAGTCCTTTACGTTTGGTTTACACACGTTAAGGGATCTGGGCCAGTTACTTGTATGTTGATGGGCCTTTTATGGGCTTTCATAGAGAGACCGTGAAAAATAATTGGGTCAAAATAAATCAACATTGTGAGAATTGAACACAAGACCTCCTGTGTATCTCTTAGATGTAACAACCAAAGACTTATGCACCTTTCATATTTACTAATCCCAACTCACTCTAAATATACGAGTGACAGTCATCATGTTTATTTATTTATTTTGCGAGAAAAGGAGTTGATATTAAAACGGCCAAATTACTGAAAGGTCCACACAGAAAAGGAAATTACAACCAAGGCCCTCTGCAACCCGACTACGCCGGCGCCATGGACGAGCCGGTGACGCGCTGCTCGCTGACGCCTTGGATCGAATCAGCCCCCGGGTGAAACGGGAAGTCTCCGATCAATGGTCCCTGAGGACCTACACCAATGGCCGTCGTCGTCGTCGCACCGCTCAACATCGCCTTCCTTCTCCAGATCTTCAACTGCCGGAATCACCATCCCTCGATCTCCGGCACAGGAGGAACCATGCAAGGCCTCTCCACCGAGCAGCGAGCACGAAAAAAGGAGCTGGTCCACCATGGAGCTCCATCGGAACTTCGCCGTCGAAGGGGAGACCAACACCTGCAAAAAGCCGATCCAGTCGCACCGCCGCCTCCACGACGTCACCGGCTGGCTCCCTAGGCACTCCTATACTATGTACACGCTGCAAATCGGGCCTCCCCGTCCTCCCGCCGCAGGAGCGTCCGGCGGAGGGCGATGGAGCCGCCGATTCGGCAACGGCGAGGTGGAGAGCCCGGGGTTCGCACAAATCGCTCTTCGTTCCTGTAGATGGGGAAGGGTGAGGTCCAAGGCTCATATTTAGGGAGAGCTATTTAAGCGAATGAGCTAATAAAGGAAGGATTGTGGGCTTAAATATAATATTTAAACGAATGTGGCTAATTAAAGAAAGGATTATGGGTAAATCGGTGGAATAACTATTAGAAAGATTGTGGTCTTAATAAATTCTACATGAAGGATTTGAGGTAAAAAGGTAGGATAATTAAAAGAAATGATCTATAGGCCTTAATGTGTTGGGGCTACTAGAAAAGGAAGGATTTGATTCCTGACTAAGGCCTCCTTTGGTTTGTAGGAATGTCATAGGATTTCTATAGGATATGATTTGCATACGAAAATTTCCTTTGAGGCCCTTTGGTTTGTAGGAATGGATTCCTATTCCTATATAGGATAGGAATCAATCCTTCACATTTTGGAGGAAAAAAACATTAGCTAAGGCCTCCTTTGGTTCATAGGATTGGAAAATCATAGGAATAGGAAAGTCATAGGAAATGAGATGACATGCATCTCAAATCCTATGCATAGGAATAAAAAAGGAGATGCCCTTTGATTCACACCATAGGATTTTTTCCATTGAGTCTAGGCTAATGTTTAGGGCTTCTTTGGTTTGGAGAAATTTTATAGAATTCTAGAGGATAGGATTTTTATAGGATTTTTTCCTTTAGAGCCCATTGGTTCATAGGAATGGATTCCTATTCCTACATAGGATTGGTTCCTATCCTCCACATTTCATAGGAAAATAAAAATGAGCTTAGACTCAATGGAAAAATTCCTTTGGTGTCAACCAAATGACATCTCGTTTCCTATTCCTACTCATAGGATTTGAGATACACGTCATCTCATTCCTACAAAATTTCTATTCCTACGATAATCCTATCCTATGAACCAAAAGAGGCCTTATTTTCCTATGAAATGTGAAGGATAGGAAGAATTCCTCCATAGGAATAGGATTTCATTCCTACAAACCAAAGAGCTCTGAAGGAATTTTCCATATAGAAATTCTATCCAATGAAAATCCTACAAAATTCCTCCAAACCAAAGGAGGCCTAAGACTCAATGGAAAAATTCCTATCCTATGCATCAAATGACATCTCTTTCTCTATAGGAATTGAGATGCATGTCATCTCACTTCCTATGTTTTTCCTATTCCTACAACATTTCTATCGTATGAACCAAAGGAGGCCTAAAACGGGTGAGGAATTCATGGTAATTAATGAAAGGATCATACTTAAATGTCATTAAAAAAGAATTGTATTTAAATGAAATCAGTGGGACATTACGCCCCGCAAAGAAAATATGAACACGACTAAATTACGACGTATTTTTTATGTTCATTTTGTAGAAGGACGATGTTGCGTTAGAACATGTTCTTCATAATGAATCCGATGTTGTGGGATATTATGCTTGTGCAAAACATCAATTTTCCTTGTTACAACGCACGGACATATGTGCTAGTTAGTTTAATTGCAGAAATTCTCTATGAATTACAGAGAAAAACTAACCTAGCTGTCCATTGTTGCTTTCTGCCTCGTTGTCCTGGGCTCCTGGCCCTACGTATGCAGGTTGGGCACTCGCCTCCACCATTCCGGTGAATGATGGCGGGCATGGCCAGGACCGTTTGTCTAAAGCTCCTGTGCTTTCGCTTAAGATTGTCACCGCCGCTCGCCGGAGGTGTGGCCTAACTGGGGCCGCGGCCACGCGCCGCGCCATCTCTCCCCCCTCGCTGGTTGGGCACTCGCCGGCCGTCAGTGCTCCACCTGCCCGTCTCTGATCGAGGCAGGGCACGCGACGCTTAGGGACACGCAGTTGCCGCGCTTGCGATCTGGAGCAGACGAACAACAGCGATCGAATCTGTTTTTTTCCCCGGAAAAATCGAATCAGCTTTTTTTTTTTGATGGCAATCGAATCAGCTTTTCAGCGAGAGCCAGACTACTGTGGCCCAAACAGGGAATGTGATGGGCCCCTGGCCTGCTGCTAGCTACGGTGCACAGGAACCTAAAGGCCCTAAAGAAAACTGGTCCAATTAAAGTAAACGATTCTCCCTAACGATCACTGTTCTTTTTTTCAGCACTGATCCCCGTTGGCTATTCCGGCGATCTTATGCCACCGGAGCTCGCCGGATTCCAAGTATGCGCCGGCATCGAGCCCGGGCACGTGCCCAGGCGCAGCGGCGCGCGATAGCCACTCCCTGACGCGCGGCGCGGCGAGGAGGAGCGTTGACAAAGAAGCAGAATGGCCATGTGAGCAGAGTCAACGCAGGTGTGCCTTCCCTAGCCGCGGTGGTTCCTAGTTGCAACCCTACCCAGACCCAACCGAGGCCGACACGACACCCCACTATTTTGCCTCTGGCGAGATGCCCGCCCTAGTAGCACCGAGAGGCGCCTCGATCTCGCGCATCCATGCGGGTGTGCCTTCCCCGGTGGCCACGACCCCCACCCTCACCCTCGTCCCCGGCCAGTGCGCCGGCCGACCATGGGAATAGACGGAACCTTCCGTTCGGCGACGCCCAACCCAATAGGGCCGACGCCTCAGCGGCCGGCCTATAAGATCCCACCTCCTCGACGGTCAAGTAACTCCGTCGATACTCGATAGGATCGTCATAGCTGGAGCCTGGAGAGACGATGCTCAATGGCGCCCTCTTCTTGCTCGTCTGCGCGGCCGCACGAGCTGCTGCTTCGGGCGGAGACGGTGAGAGCCTCCAAAGCTACCGCTATTCCTAGCATGGTTAATCAGTTAGGTTAGGTACATTGTCTTAGCATTGTCTGACACGCGATGCCATGCGAGCTGCAGGCCCGCTGCTGAACGGGAACTTCGAGTACGCGCCCAACAGGTCCCAGATGAACGGCTCGAGGGTGATGGCGGCGAACGCGATCCCGTACTGGAAGGTCACCGGCTTCGTGGAGTACATCGAGTCCGGCGCGAGGCAGGGCGACATGGTCCTGACGGTGCCGGAAGGCCGGCACGCCGTGCAGCTGGGCACCGACTCCTCCATCCGGCAGCAGCTCAGCGTGACGCGCGGCAAGTACTACTCCATCACCTTCAGCGCCGCGCGCACCTGCGCCCAGTCCGAGAGGCTTAAGGTGTCGGTCGTCCCCGGCGACGACGTCGTGGCCGACGAGCTCCCCGTCCAGACGGTGTACACCAGCAGCGGCTGGGACTCCTACTCCTGGGCCTTCAAGGCCAAGCAGGGCGTCGTGTCGTTCATCATCCACCACGGGGACGACCATGCGGAGGACCCCGCGTGCGGTCCCGTCATCGACTGCGTCGCCATTAGAGCGCTCAATCCTCCTCGAGCCACCCGCAGTGAGAACAAAGTTCCGATGATCTCGTCTGTGCTTAGCAAACGATTCTTTGTGACGGAATTAACGTGATCTGTGCAGACAACATGCTGATAAATGGGGACTTCGAGGAGGGGCCATACATCACCCCGGGCTCGCCGTGGGGGGTCCTGGTGCCGCCCATGGACGAAGACGACACCTCGCCGCTGCCGGGCTGGATGGTCATGTCCTACTCCAAGGTGGTCAAGTACATCGACTCGGCGCACTTCCGGGTGCCGCACGGCACCCGCGCCGTGGAGCTGGTGGCCGGCGTGGAGGTCGCGCTGGTCCAGGAGGTGGCCACCGTCCCCGGCAGCTCGTGCAGGCTGCAGTTCTCGGTGGGCGACGCGGCCAACGGGTGCGTGGCGTCGCCCATGCGCGTGCAGGTGGCCACGGCGCGCGGGAGCAAGAGCGTGCCGTACAACTCGAAGGGCACGGGCGGGTACACGCGCGACGCGCTCGACTTCACGGCGGACGGCAACACCACGCGGGTGGTGTTCTACAGCTCGGGCTACCACACCACGTCCGACGGCAGCGGCACGCTCTGCGGGCCCGTCATCGACGACGTCTCGCTCGTCTGCATTTCACGCCCGCATGCTCGCCGGTTGCTCCGCTGATGCGTTGCACGTGCTGCTAGAGTGTGATTTTTTCGGGAGAGCGGCTGCTGGGAAGTGGAAAATCACTCCTGTTCCTTCTTTTCGTAAGAAATAGTCGACCCTCCATGCGTTGTTTCGTAACAACAAACTACTCCATACTCATGGAGCATACAGAAAACAGATCAAATCATCAGTTTAATTCACGAGCATGAACGTAACAAGCGGCTTCTAGGACGAATGTCTTTTATGCGAAACAATATGTGGTTGGATGGCTAGGTGGACAGTCGTATCTCAACCCATCAGGTTTCAAGTCATGGTGCTCACGGGTTCAAGACCTGCCGGGCGGTCGGTCGTCAGTCCTCGGATTTGCAGCTACGTCGCTGGGTAGTCGGTCGGCGGTGGCGGCGGTGTGAGGTCTCTTGGACAGTGACCCCAATTCCATGGAGGTGTGGAGATGGGCTACGCGTGGATGCAAATCTTGCACAACTTCTGCCTGGTCGGCGATGATGGCACCCTTGATGTCATCCCCGTCGACTACCAGGCGCTTTTGGTGACTTCATCAATCTTAAGATGATATGTCGGCTCCGTCTTTTGGAAGTCCACATAGAGGTAGGGTGTGCGTGTGTGTGTTTATAGGATGAGTATGCGCGTATATATGAGCGCACGTGACGAATGTATTTTTATTATACACTTCTTTCCCTATACAAATCACTTCACACCACTCGCGTTCCTTTCCTTATCACAGGGCAAAGTCTAGCATGAACATGGCAATAGGTACGCACAACCCGCGAACCCGGCGAGTAAAAATCCTATTGGGATAAGGGTTTGGAAAAATAAATATCCATACGTTTATAAATGGAAAAATATTGTGCCCATCGGTTAAGCCGGATATGGCACAGGGAGGCAATGGCGTACCCGCATATACCCATTGTAACATCCTGAATTTTGAGTTTTTTTCTTTGCCTTTTCCCGATTCTTTCTTGAATTACCTTTCTTGGACTTACCAAACTAAAAACACCTTGAAATTGGGCTAGCACCCAGCCAAAATTTTGTGAATTTTTGGTGTGACTCAAATGCAAAAATTCCTGAGAGGCTTGGGTGTATTTTTGGTGGTTTTAGGACCTGAACAGATTATGTGAATTGATTGACAATTTTTAGAAGAGCCGAAGAGGTAGTTGTTTCACAACTCAAGTGCTTAGAGAGCATTTATTCTTTTCTGAAAAATAATAATCCTAAGAGAAAGCTTGGGAAAAGAATAGCCTAGTGAATAGGCCGATCACACCCGTGGCCACCCAGTACGCGGATGCCTTGGTGAGCATGGTCACGGCCACGTCCACTATTCACACCTGCGCCTACCGCCGTCGGGACACGCTCGGCCGACGCAGAGAGCTTGGCCAAATCCACCAGCACACCCGAAGCAGTCTCTCTGGCTATCGGCGAGAACCACGGCAGCGTCGTTGCTACTTGTGAGCTGTGTTGGAATTTCCCCAAAGAAAAAGGGAGGTACAGTATAATAAAAATAAATATTTTCATCAGTTAAAAATCAAGGTTATCAATCTAGTAAGAGAATCACACAAAGCCTAGTGAATAACACCTGCATACATAAAAGTAAATACTTGCACCCAAAGCAAACAAGAGGGTTCTCAACCCCCTTGGCGATTACTTGCAAGATTAAATCTTGTAGTGGTAGACAGATAATTACAAAAATAAATTAGAAATAAAATTCAGTGGAGTATTTTTGTGTTTATATATGATAAAGTAGACCCTGAGGCCATAGTTTCACTAGAGGCTTCTCTCTCGAGCATAGCATACGGTGGATGAACAAATTACTGTTGGTCAATTGGTAGAAAAATGCATAGATATGACGATATTTAAGGCAATGATCATGTATATATGCATCATGTCCGAGACAAGTAGACTGACTCCAGCCTGTATCTACTACTATAACTCCACCCATCGACCGCTATACATCATGCATATAGAGTATTAAGTTAATGAAAATAGAGTAACAACTTAAGCAAGATGACATGATGTAGACAAAGTAAACCCAATTAATATGAATAACCCCGTCATTTTATTCTTAATAGCAATAATACAAATACGTGTATTATCCCTTTCTGTCAGTGGGATAGAGCACCGCAAGATTAAACCACTACTGCAGGATGCTGCTAACGCGACACTACGATCAGAGACCCTTTTACGAAACTGTGTGTGATGCATTAATCACAAACGGTGATGTAAAAACCCGTTAAAAAGGATGCAAAATGTTTGCCATGAATGATACATCAAACACGGTTCGAATTTTAGTTGCGTGTGCGATGCGGGGCATACGGTTGATCCATACGAACTATTTGCGATGAGACAGAACAACAGAATGGACAACCAGATCAAGGTGTGTGTGATATACGACATACAGTTCGCTCCGATGAACCGTTTGCGATGATCGAGGTGAACACAAACGATTCGGCGTAATAAGATGTGTGTGATACCCGACAAACATGTCAGTAATCAGAATTGTGTGCGATCATTATAGACAACCCATACGGTCTTTTTTTGGTGAATTGTGTGCTCGTCAGGGCACAGAGTTCAACAAACCAATCTGTGAGCGATAATAGAAGATCTCTATCGAATACATATTACTAACCGTCTGCGATGAGATTGACAGGATAAATAGAGATAACAAATTAATATGAGCGAACAGAAACAGAGATATATACAATCTACTTAATTTAGTCCTTGTTGTTGTTGTTGTTGTTGTTGTTGTTGTTGTTGTTGTTGTTGTTGTTGTTGGATGGCCCCGCGACATCGTCTTGGTGCAGACGCTTCTTGCCACTGAACGTTGGCTTTTCATCGTCGTTGCTGTCATCGTCGTCCTCCTCCTCGTTCGACCATCCCCCCTCATCATCATCGTCGTCATCTTCTTCATCCTCCGACGGCTCCCCATCCGTCTAGTTGTCGTCTGACGACTCCGGAGGCGGCGTCCCTTCCATGATCCGGATATAATCGAGGTCTGGGCTCGACGCCGGACTCATGGAAGACAAGCGGGATGATTCCGATGTTGACCTATTATCGGGCGCCAGACTGCTGGCCGAACTGTCATCCTCGCTGTCGCTCGACATGGCTGCTTGATACGCCTCCAACGTATCTATAATTTTTTATTGTTCCATGCTATTATATTATCCATCTAGGATGTTTTATATGCATTTATACGCTATTTTATATGATTTTTGGGACTAACTTATTAACCTAGAGCCCAGTGCCAGTTTCTGTTTTTCCTTGTTTTTGAGTTTTACAGAAAAGGAATACCAAACGGAGTTCAATGGACGTGCCAATTTTTGACGATTTTTTATGGACCAAAAGAAGCCCCGGAGTAAAACAGTTGGGCCAGAAGAGTCCCGGGCCGTCCACGAGGGTGGGAGGCGCGCCCTACCCCCGGGCGGGCCGCCCTATCTCGTGGACGACTCGGGGACCCCCTGACTTGTTCCCGACGCCAAAAATTCCTATAAATACAGAAACCTCCAGAAAATAACCTAGATTGGGAGTTCTGCCGCCGCAAGCCTCTATAGCCACCGAAAACCAATCTAGACCCATTTTGGTACCCTGCCGGAGGGGGGAATCCATCTCCGGTGGCCATCTTCATCATCCCAACGCTCTTCATGAGGAGGAGGGAGTAGTTCTCCCTCGGGGCTGAGGGTATGTACCAGTAGCTATGTGTTTGATCTCTCTCTCTCACGTGTTCTTGATTCAACACGATCTTTATGTATCGCGAGTGTCGGTGTCAAAACCGGTGGATCTCGGGTAGGGGGTCCCGAACTGTGCGTCTAAGGTGGATGGTAACAGGAGGCAGGGGACACGATGTTTTACCCAGGTTCGGGCCCTCTTGATGGAGGTAAAACCCTATGTCCTGCTTGATTTATTCTTAATGATATGAGTATTACAAGAGTTGATCTACCATGAGATCGGAGAGGCTAAACCCTAGAAGCTAGCCTATGGTATGATTGTATGTTGTCCTACGGACTAAAACCCTCCGGTTTATATAGACACCGGAGGGGGTTAGGGTTACACAAGGTCGGTTACAAAGGAGGAGATATCCATATCCGTACTGCCTAGCTTGCCTTCCACGCCAAGTAGAGTCCCATACAGACACGAGACGAAGTCTTCAATCTTGTATCTCCATGGTCCAACAGTCCGGCCAAAGAATATAGTCCGGCTGTCCGGCGACCCCCTAATCTAGGACTCCCTCAGTAGCCCCTGAACCAGGCTTCAATGATGATCAGTTCGGCGCGCAGTATTGTCTTCGGCATTGCAAGGCGGGTTCCTCCTCCGGATACACCACAGAAGAGTTCGAATAAAAGGATAGTGTCCGACCCTACAAAATAAGTTCCACATACCACCGTAGAGAGAATAACATTTCCACAAATCTAATCTGCCGACACGTTTTGGCAACATGACATCATGCCATGGCTCGATGATTGTTCAAACCGTTTTTCTTTAACTAGCCCCGCACATAACACGATGCAGTTTCTTGACACGTCTTGTCAAAGCAGAGATCGTGTCCCCCTTATTACGGGATTCTCATCAATACGGTTGTGGGTAACCCAACCGCGTTTAGGACTCCTAGATTTTAGGCAAGTCCCAAACGGCCACGAGGAGGACGCTTGATATTCACCCTCTTTATAAAGGGTCAAGGCTTTTACTTTTTTCCTCCCGTGCTCAATCGAATCCTTCCCGCGCCTCGAGTTCTAACACCCAAAGCCCAGGTCTGGTGCTTCGAACCTTCAATCATGTCCGGATCCAGCCTCCAGGGCCAGTGGATGCCCTCCTCCGTCACAGAAGAGGATATCAAGTAGTTGAGGGAGGCAAGATACTTGACCGCCGAAGTCTCGCATCGGCTGCCTGCCCGAGGGCAGGTCGTCCCTACTCCCGAACCCAATGAAGACATCGTGTTTATCTCCCACTTCCTCCGAGGACTAGGCCTCACTTTGGATCCCTTCGTAAGGGGTTTGATGTTCTATTACGGG